TGGTATTATCTGTTGAAACTATGCATGTCCTATGGCCCAGATAATTGACTGCTAGATACTCTAGAGACACTCATGCACATATGTCTCTGGATGCATTATAAATATTTTTATAACAGCACTGTTGATAATAGCTTTAAACTGAGTCCATTCAAAATGTCATGTTCGGTAGAGTAGATAAGTGATTTGAAGTGTTTTTAGTCAGTAGAACACTATGCAGAAATGAAAACGAACAAAAAACAGCTACATGCAACAATATGGATGAGTTTCAAATATAAAACTGAGCATGTGGGACATTATTCTCTGTGCCCTAGTAAACAGTCAGTGCACGATCATTGTGTGCTTAGGAAGGTGATTTGGGGCAGTATGGAGTACAGGGAGTCCGTGCTACACACAAGGACCCCATGGGGAGGCAGCTGCAATGAGAGAGAGAAAATGCCACGTTAAACCCAGGCAGTAGCAGCACCAACGGAGAGAGTGACATGGATTGTTGAGGGACATTAAAAATAAAATAAACACAATCTGGTGACTGATTAGATGTTTCGATTGATTTTAGAGAGGCAACCGTTTAACATGCTGCCGAGATTTCTGATCTCATGGACTAGAAGGATGGTTGTGTTATTCACTGAGATCAGAGGAGCACTAGGGTTTTGAGGTGATAGATAATGAATCTTCGTGACATCAAGCGATATGACCTTGGAAAAATTATTTAACTTCTCTCTACCACAGTTTCTTCATGTATAAAAGAGAGAAAATAATTTTCAAGGCATAAAAACCTCAGTGATAATACAGTGTGTGATACATAACACACACTGCTACTATACAGTTTTTCGAGCAGTAAGTATGACCCTGAGTACATGATATCATAAATGCAATGCAGTCCTTTCTTTAGGCTTTTTGGAGATGAAAGACAGGTGTAGGAAAACTTGAATCATCCTATTGTCTTGAGTGAAACACCATACATTTTAAGTGCAGGGTGGGGAGAAAGTCTTAGGACAAAAGGCATGAAGAGCTGAGATTATATTATATATCATGGGAAAAGGAAAGCCAAGAGGTGATGTAATGAGACGTTAAGTGAAGGGCAAGCTAAAAATTAGAATGTGCTTTTGCTGAAAATGGTTTAAAAGGCACAGATCCTTTTTATAATACATCTTATTCATATACAAGTGATACTTATTTTTTTGGTGATTTGTAAGCCACTAAAAAGAAGAACAAAGTAAATAAATAGCACCTATAAGTCTCATGCCCAGAGATTCTGTTGTTAACATTTTTCAGCTCTGTCCATTCACCCACCTGGCCCTCTATCCATCAGTTTTTTCTTTTCTTTTTAAAAATAGAGCTGAAATTAAACTGTATATTGTTGTGCAAACTGCTGTGTTTTGCACAGGACCTTAAATGGAGACTAATCCTAGTGTGAGGGATTTAGGTTAGCTATGTGTAGTAAGAAGAAAATGTCTGATGTGCTTTGTCAATGAGTTATTGAGGGAGAGTGCAGTATTTTCTTTTCTGGCAGTCTTAAAATCTAATAGGATAAACTCGTTGATGGTGAGGGCATGACCCTGCTTTACTGCCCTGTTATTCTCTGATATCTGGACAAACCCTGAAAGTGCTTTTCTGAGGACTTATTTCTCCCAGAAGTGGCAGAAAGAAATATTGGTTAGAATAGGATGCGAGAGAGACTTTTATTAATCCCTCACCTACACTTGCCTCGAGGACTGGGGACTGAAGAGTGAGTGCATCTCTCCCAAGAGTGTGAGACTGCTCAACTTTTCATTTTTAAATATTAAAATCACTGTAAAATTCTACTCTGACTAATCCAGAATAAAGACGGAAAAGATTAGTGTCACTGGGATATAGTTTTACATGAGCAAATCGTTTTAAATAGGCTTAAATCTAAGAGGTGGAAGCTGCTTAGACTGAAGGTATTTATGCCAGATTGGATGGGATAAGTCGTGTGTGTGTGTGTGTGTGTGTGTGTGTGTGTGTGTGTGTGTGTATAAGAGAGGGAGAGGAAAAGGAAGGAGGGAGGGAGAGGGAGAGGGGAATTCTGAAGGTTTCCTTATGTGCAGTTTGTTTGATCCAGTATTTTCTCAGTTTTTTTTTTTTTGTTTCAGCGCGTATGCTCACATATCAATGCATACACACATGTAAATATATATACAAGAGACTTGGTTGCCATCCCTTTTCCATAGAGATGTAAGAAGGCTGGAAAAATGTTTTCTTTTGTGAATATTTCTGATTGCAAAGAAATTAAATTCATTCATTCATTTAACAAATGCTCATTGAAGTCATTGCGTGTAAACACTGTGCTGAAAATGGGGATAGGAGGTTAAAAGCATCGAGGAGTCGCCACAAGCCTTTTAATCAGCGGTGCACCTGTAACTGTAAATCTGTACCTGACACTTGCTGTCCTTGGAAGAGAAGCCCCTTTTACTCTCAGGATAAAGTCTAAACTGCTCATCCCGAGACCATTTGCAATCCTGCCTCCATTTATCCTTTCAGCCTCATCTCCTCTCATCTATCACACCCACCTTATGCTCCAGTCATTCCTATGGGAGGAATTTATCAAGCCCCTTAGCATGTCCTGGGTGTTTTCAGGTAACTTATGCCTCATCAGATATCTCTATTCCTTCATGCCTCCTTGCCTGGATCCTTGTGATTTTCCTCTGATACAATGCTTTGCCTCCATTTGCTGGCATTCTCCCACTTGTCTGTTTGTCTTGTCCACTAGTCAGTGAGATCCTGGAGGACACAGACCATCTTCTCTGTGGGCCTCTAGCACTCAGTAGGGTGCTTTGCATATAGTAGCCATGCAGTGTTTTGAACAAATGAATGAATGAAACTAAGTTAAGTGTAATCCAAACCTCTAGTGGTCATGAACTCCCTCAGCTTTTGTTTATCTCAGAAAGTCTAAATTTCTCTCATTTTTGAAGGATAGTTTTGCCAGGTATAGTATTCTTGGTTTGTAGTTTTTGGTTTCTTTCTTTTTTTCCTTTTTTCTTTCAGCATTTTGAACATATCATTTCATTCCCTTCTGGCCTGCGAAGTTTCTGCTGAGAAATCTACTGAAAATTTTATGAGCTCCCTTTTATGTGATGAGTTGCTTTTCTCTTGCTGTTTTCAAGATTCTCTCTTTGTGACTTTTAATGGTTTGATTATAATGTGTCTTGGTGTGAGTCTCTTTGGATTTATGTTAGTTGAAGTTCATTGAGCTTCTTAAATTTGTATGCCCATTTTCTTCCTCAAATCTGGGCATTTTGCAGCCATTCTTCTTCACAAAAGCACTCTGCCCCTTTCTAGTTCTTTTCTTTCTGAGACTTCCATAATGTGTATATTGATTTAATTGATGATATTCCAAAAGTCCCTCAGGTTCTCTTCACTTTTTTAAAATTCTATTCTCCTTTTGTTTCTCTGACTCAATAATTTCAAATGACCTATCTTTAAGGTTATTTGCTGATTTTTTTCTTCTGCCTGATCAGGTCTGCTGTTGAACCTCTCTAGTGAATTTTTCCAATTCATTATTTGTATTCTTCAACTCTTAAATTTTTGTTTGGTTCTCTTTTTTACAGTTTCTCTTTGTTGGTATTTTCATTTTAGTCATGCATTGTTTCCCTGATTTCATTTAGTTGTCTGTCTGCATTCTCTTTTAATTCATTGAGCATTTTTAAGATGGTTATTTCAAATTCTTTGTCAGGTAATTCATAGATCTCTGTTTCTTTAGGGTTGGTTTCTAGGAATTTATTTTGTTTCTTTGAGCCATATTTCTTTGTTTCTATGTATGCCTTGTGATTTTTTTGTTGTGATTTGGGCATATGAAAAAACAGACACCTCTCCCAGTCTTTATGGGCTGCTTTTATATAGGGGAAGACCTTCACCAATCATGCCTGCTAGAGATTCTGGGGGCCTCAAACTTTTCCCAGAGATGTGTTTTCTCTGGGCGTGTGTGTAATTTCCCAGTTAAAGAGATCTGCCCTTGTTCTGAAGAGCCCATAATCTCTTGTTCCCCTGGGTGTCAGTCAGAGGTACTTCGGATTCTTTCAGTGCTGTAGCAAGCTGCTATGCTTACTTTTGAAAATATACTGACTGCCATTTCCTTAAGCATTCTGAGTCACGCCCTTGGGCAGCTGCTTATAAAGCGAGACTGTTGGATGTACATTTATCTCTTCTCTGACCCTTCTGAGGGAGAAGTCAGGAATTGGGAGTTTTTCCTAATTATGCTGCTCTGTGCTGGGTGGGAGGGGGCTACCATGGGTAGAGCACAAACTTTCTTACCTGCTTTGATGTGGCTCTCCTGGGCTTTGCACTTGCCTGGGGTATTAAGTCATTGTCTCTGTCGGGGAACAAGGACTTCGCGCTTCCTATTCAGCCATCTTGTATCACTCCCAAGTGTAATCCAAATCTCTATATTGAGAAATGGGGATAATTAATATTGATATAACTTTGATAATTAAAATTGGTAGAGATGATGGCACATCTGTTCTCTCTCAGTCCCCTCTCCAGGCAAGGGTTAAAGAAGTCATTCCAGATTTCTGGCTTTCCAGTCTTGTCTCTGTTTGTCTGTCTCTCTTTAGTAATAGTGTCTAACGTTTAATAAACGCTTATGTGTCAGGAACTCTTCATATTCCTGTATGTATTCACTCATTTACTTGTCACAATAGTTGTAAAAGGAAGGTATGATGATTATTCCCATTATACGTGTGAGGAAACTGAGTTACAGAGAATCTAAATAATTTACCCAAAGTCATTCTGTTGATATCTCAATTTTAAAAAGACATTTTGCAGCATGAAATGAATATTCTTTAATTTGTATAAGACTGTTGTTTAGAATATATATTCTATGAGACTTCTTTTAACAATCTTTCCCTGTAGTAGCCAATTATTGAATTATTATGTATATTATTTTGTGTTAATTATAAGTGGTAATTATGCTGCTGGAAATGTCTGCAGTTTACATATCCAAGTGTAGAAGACATCAAGGATGTGTTTGTTTTTGTTTTTTTCAGGACAGAGTTCATTCAAAGGGGCAGGATTTCAATCACAGGAGTTGGATTTCTCAACTACATTTTAGAAACCTTTGCCAGCACATTCTTAAGACAGGGAGCCCAGAAGGTAAACTTGTTTTTGCTTTTAAACAACATTAGTTTTAAGAAACAATGAGAGTTCCAATAGGGTTATTGAATAAAGCTCATGAATAGACATAACAATAAAAAATATTGTTAATATATAAATATATGCAAAAATAATTACCCTTAATAATTATTACATAAATCCAAATCAAAATAAAACCAATGTGCCATTTATGGCTCATTAAATTAAAAATATGCCAATGAAGTATATGTGAAAATATGGAGCATACTTATAGTCTAATTAAGGGAAATGATAGAATGAATAATTATAGTTACAGTATGTACAGTATAATGACAACTATTTAATAAAAATAATAATAGCTAATATTTATTGAGTGCTTACTATGTGCAACTGATTGTTAAAAGAATTTTTATTATCTCATTTAATCCACACAAACCTTTGAAATATCTGTTATTGTTGTCCTGATATTATAGATGAGGAAAATACAGAGACTCCAAATGTCCATTCTTGTAGTTTTCAAACTCTATACTTAAGGGAGCTAAGCCTTCCATTAAGGTGATTCAGAGGCCGCGTTGGATCTGTGTACCCTGTTTTAAGTAGAGCTGTTCCATTTTTAATCTGTTTTCTGTGGTATTACATATGACATTTCTATATCCTATTTTCTTGCCTTCATAGCATTATTGTTTAAAACTTCTTAGTTGGATGTGGTGGCATGTGCCTATAATCCCAGCTACTTGGAAGGCTGAGGCAGGAGGATCGCTTCGGCCCAGGAGTTCAAGTCCAGCCAGCCTGGGCAGCATAGGGAGACCCTGTCTCAAAAAACAAACAAACAAACAAACAAAAAAACCAAATTAAACAAAACTTCTTTAGGGCCAAGCCCATTCCTTATGCATCTTTATATGCCTATTGCAGTGCTGAGAATAGAACATTGCACCGAAGTCTCCAAAGTGTTTTGTTATTATTATTGTTATTGTGATGATAACCAGACTCACTTATTTCCAGAGTTTATTCAGGACTTCTGTATATGTTATCTCATTTTGTTTTGTGGGTTGGAATTAATGACTTGTTTCAAGAACTATTGTTATGACTCCCAGAGATTTCAGGATGATGGATCCTTGTTTTTATTTTTGCAAGTCTAGGTTTAAGAATGAATCTGGGCCAGGAAGTGTTAGTCTGGGAGGTTGAGGGTGATGGACGAATATTCGGTACTGTTCTATATGCCACAGATATATTGTCGAGATTGTGATATGTTCTTGGCCCAGTTTAGGTGGTTCCTGGCACATATTCAGATTGGTCCAGCCTATTTAAACCTGGGCTTGAAGGAAGATAGTCTAACTTCTAGAAAGTCTGATGTCATCTTTAACTCAATCAGACATGATTGCATGTTTTTCTGCTATATTGCAATATATGCCTTTGTAAAATCCCCATGTTCTGTAAAATTGCAGTCTAAAAATAGTGGGGCTGATGAGCAAAATAATTTCATTGCCATGTCCCTGACTGAGTTGACTTCTTATACATCCTTTAAAACCTGCATCACAAAATAATTGAGTATAATTTTCTGTATTACAGGTATATTAATCAGAAGAATGAAATTCTTTTTTGGGAGGGATACAATTTAGCTGAATTAGGGTTCAAAGTTAGTGTTTCCTATCATCAAATTGATTACAAATGTTCTTTATAAAAATCACTCTTGTGGGCCACATAAAAACAGGATTTGGGCTGGATTCGGCCTGTGGGCTATAGTTTACCAGCCCCGGCTTTAGATAAATGTTGTTTGATTAACCCAAGTGGGTCTGTATTTGATGTATCAATCTGAAACTATTGAAGACTTTCAATTGCACAGTGGTTGTGTACATTTTCATCCTGTGAAATGCATAAAGGGAACACTTCATCCCCATTTTATTAATGGGAAATGACTTGAAAAGGTAAGTACACCCAACATGTGGTAACTGCTTTCTCACCTTCCTTCCTCTTACAAATATATATCGAGCATCTGCTTTGCTCTGGGCACGGTGCTAAGTGTGGGCTAAATGGAGTTATTCAAGGTCACAGAACTAGCACAGGGTGGAGTCTGGACTCAAATCTCCATCTTTCATCAATAAGACGTACCACTTGCCATTGTACTGTGCAGCCCTCAGGTGAATGAAGCAGAATCCTTGCCTACCCAGCACCATGAACTTCACAGATACTGTTGTGTATTAGATGGATTTGTGTTGCGGTCTTACTCCCCTTGTATTGTTAGGACTCTTTGGTTGTGAGTAACAGAAACCACTTTAGGCTAGCTCATTGCAAGGGTGCAAGGGTGGTGAAGCTGGCAGGCTTCAGAAAGGACTGCCCTGGAACTGAAGGCTGCTGGGAACCCAGGTGGCATTCCTTCTTCAACTCTTGTCTGTAAAATCATGTGTCTTTTATTCTTCTCTTTCTCTGTGGTCTGGTTTGCTCTGCTCCCCAGAGTGTATAGAGGGATGTGGGCCTCCACTGTCAAAGTGCACATGTTGTGTAGAATTCTGGCGAACACAAAGCCTGGCTGCTTATTTCTTTTCTTCCTAAATTGTTTGAGAGTCTTCCAAAGACTCTTGTTAGCTTTCCATAGGTCAAGCACCACCAGGGAGGTGCAAGTCAGGCTGTAGAAATGTGGCTCATCCCCCGTGATGACCGTGTGGATCAGGGTTGGGGGAACTTCTCAGAGAAAGGGGTGGTGGGTGGGGTAAATACTCCCAAAGGTTTCTGGCATGGTCTCAGAGTCGATTCTGTTCCTTGATGGCAGAGTGGGGGTTTATTAATCTTAATCCTGATCCCACCCCAACCGTAGCACCTTGGTCAGGATGTTTATGTACAAACGAGTAGAAAGGAAATAGAATGCACAGTGAGCTTCACTATTGGTTTCTGATGAGTATTATGCAGAAATAATTAGGTGACTTTAACTTTTTAAAGTGATAAACTCAAATGATTCCTCTTTATTCTCACTCATTTATTATGCTCAGAAGTAAGAGTATATTTTTCCTGATAGCTTTTGCCTTTTCTGACTTTACTTTTTCTTTTTGAAGAGGCCAGGTTTAATTAGCTTTTCAATTTTAGGAGCTGATTATGCTTTTACCCAAGTGGTCATGTTTTCCGGTATCAGCCTGACTTCCCAGTAAGCCTTCCCAGCTGAGCCTCACACGTGGCTTCTGGGAAGCCACCAGAGAGTGTTTAGATGACTTTATTTTCACTGCAGGACTTTATCCCTGAGTCTGTTTAGTAGTGGTAAGGTAAGGATCTGATATCTATTTTTTTGCTAGAAAAAGCAAAACTAGGTGCTCACGAACCTCACATCTCTGTGTTTGTAAATTAAAAATTGGCTCTGGAGATGGATCCGCAGCCGAGGTCATGTGTGTTTCTGAGCCTCTGGGGGCCTGTTCAATTGCTTCTTTCTCCTCCCTTCAGCCCTCTGAGGCAACTTGCAATTTGGGGGCCTTTCTGACACAAATACGGACGTTCCACACACCAATCGGACCCCACTTTCCTTTTTGAGTGGCAGTCTGTGGGTGGGAGAGTGGGGTTCCCTCTGGTGGTGCCGTCGGCTCGTGTACCTGAAATAGAAGCCGTTCCAAACCCACAGCTGAGCTCGCTCTCATCGCCCTTGGGAGCTAGTACAAGTCACTCTGCCCCTCTGATCCCAAGTTTCTTTGTCTGCGAAAGGAGGATTTTAGTGCGTTCTCACAGATACGTGTGAAAACTGTGTTTGAAAGCTTTCTGTAAATTGAAGAGCACAGGTCAAATGTACAAAACGTGTTCTCTGTTTTTTTTTTATTTTTTTTATTTCAGCATATTATGGGGGTACAGATGTTTAGGTTACGTATGTTGCCCTTGCCCCTTCCTCCTCCTCTAAGTCCGAGTTTCAAATATGTCCATTCTTCGGGTGATGTGCATTGCACTCTTTGTGTCTGCATATACCCGTCCCCTCTTCCCTCCTCCCCCCTCCCCCCTCCCCCCTGCCCAACATCCAACAGATGTTATTCTTATATGTGCACTTATGTGTTGATCAGTTAATACCAATTTGATGGTGAGTACATGTGGTGCTTGTCTTTCCATTCTTGGGATACCTCACTTAGTAGAATGAATTCCAGCTCTATCCAGGAGTATACAAGAGGTGCTATATCACCATTGTTTCTTAAAGCTGTTTTTAAGAATTAAAAATGATAATCATCATAATAACACACTTCTTTAGCACACTTTCTTTTCATGGTTAGATGTATTTTTTCCCTCAAACTCATGTGAACACATTCAGTCCAGGCAACTAGATTTTAAACTCAGAAGTTCAACTCCACCAGAACTTCTGGGGTGTCAGCTGTGTGCCAGGCATCGAGTAGGATGCTGGAGACACAAGTAAGAGTAAGACGTAAGTCACAAGATAGAGACTGTGCGTGAAGCAGCTTTACTTCTGGGACATCTGGCTCAGGGTGAAAAGCATGACAGACAATGAATAAACATCTGCTCAGGATGAAAATTTATTGAGCCCTGCTTGGTGTTCAGTGCCAGCACTGCGATCAGTGCTGAGAAGGGTATTAAAATAACAACTATGCTTACAAGAGCTTAGTAGATGCCAAGCACCGTGCTTGGCATGCGTTACCTTATCTGCTTTTCTGAATAATACGATGAGACAGGAGTCGTTATTCCCATTTTTTGCATGGGGAAACTGAGGTCTCAAGTGGCGAGACAGTTTTCTCAAGGTCACAGAATTAGTAAGTGGTGAACCTGGGATTCGAACCTGAGCTTGTCTGACTCCAGCGTGTTCTTGATCACTACACCACGGTGCTGCATCAGTGATCTCTGCACTTCCAACTGCGTGCGTGGGGCAAGATGTATGTGCTTGATAGAACCAGAGTGAGGTGCTGTGGTGTGTGCAGTGAGGATGGAGGAATGCAAGAACGAGGAACTCAGTTACAGTGGAAGAACTTGGAACAGGCCAGAGGAATCATGCTACTTGAAAGCGCTTTGAGTGGCTAGCGAATGTCCCCTTCCGTTCAGAATCCCCCACC